ACTTCGTTGTTTTCGGATTATGTAGAACATGGTCATTGAAGATTATTCATTGTCGTACAAGTTCACACCAGTTATGTATTCTCTTTTATTCCCTTACCCGATCAGTTTGTATCTAAATACAATTAAAAAAACACATAACTAAGAATCTATCAATTAGGATGCAAGTAGGTCAAGAGTTGCAACACATATGCTTCTCTCTCTATTTTGACTACAAATCGTCATCAAATTAGCCACATAACACTGAGTGTTCCTGACTATTCATCTCTCACTGGTCCGGAGAATTAATCGCAACTCCTACTGTCTACATCCACATTTAGGAATTCTCATGACATAACATCACACTCGTTTCTCTTTTGTGTCTCTTTTGTGCCGCAACACTAACGCACGACTAACATTGATGTATAATATGTGTATCTATATAATGTATATATGTTTTAGGTTTGAGGCATATGATGCGATCGGGAAGCAAGAATGTTTAATTAAGGTTATTACCTACTTACTTCTCATGTTACCACGAGAACGATCAAGTGAGGGAATGAAAGAGATTGTACAATTATTATGAACTGATATGACGGTGCATTATCTCCGGTGTAATCTAACAACAACGAAGTTAACAAATAGTGAGGTATTTGTTGAACATTTTGGAAACTTCGTTACACTTTTAAGTCATTTTCCATTTACGTGAAGTGCCTTCCAGTTACCATAATGTTTTATTTGAACACATATGTACATCATTAGTATTCTGTGTACAAATAGTATACTTTCATAGAATTTGTTGCAGTAAAAAACAATAATGATATTTTTTGAACATTTTGGAAACCGGGTAACCTGATGGTTATCTACAATAGCCGGTTCAATGGTATTTTATGTACTAAAAAAACAATGGTCTTTTTTGTACATTTTTAGAATTTCGTTACATTTTTAAGTCATTTTCCCTAAGTTGTACTACACCCTAATCACTTCAAACCTACTCTTCATCAACACCATCTCTTTAAGATTTTTAAGGTTGTCATTTCTTAGACTTTTGAGTGCTCTCTTATTCCTATTCCTAGGGACTTTTTTGACTTTTACTACCCCATTACTATTTTATACTTCTACTTTCTTGTAGAAAATAAAATTTGTGAAAGTGTATTTAATACTAATATTTAATTACTTTTGATAGAAATAAAACAAAAAATATATATATGGAGATATAAGTGAAAGTTACCAACTACAAAGTAAAATATGATAAAAAAAACTTACCAAAAGAGTAATTGTTTAAAATTTAAAATAACTCTAAATAAAAAAAAAACTTTAGATTCATGGAGATGATGAAAGCTTAAACCATGTAGATTTGTTTTTGTTCTATGATAATACATGGTTTGTTTGTTTTTTTAATGTTTTTTTGTGGTTAGGTTTAGAACACGGAGACAAATATATCATGTGATAGCCTCACGAATCTATCATCTTCAAGTTAGGCATCAACAAGTGATCATAAGAAACCTAGAAAGGTCAAAATTGCAAATTGTTAAATGTGATTTGAGACTTGAAAACCTGAAATAAACCCGACACCGGTTTTCAATGGAATAAATATTTGGAGTAGGTTGAAACAAACTTTTTTTTGAGTCACAAGGGAGCCCCTTCTTTTGATTGGTTTAAAGGACAAATGAATGAGGTTGAAGAAATGGATCACAATGAATACATTCAAATCTTGAAAAATGTCATTAGCCTTCAATAATCGACCATTTAACTCATGCTAATTTTTGTTGTGTTGATCTATACAGGTGACTCATGATGGCGAGACTTATTAGGTGACTCATGATGAAGAATTTTAATGGATTTGGTATACATGATGCCTCCGGTTTCATGAATGGTATAAATCCAACTCCTACTTAATAGCAATATACTTTTGCTTATCCTTTGAATACAATTTCCTTATTTTGGTTGTTTCTAATATACTATTACACTTTCAGTACTTTTCTTATAAAGGCATTGTACCTTGAAAACTACATCCATTTCTAGCATCACTTTTTGCTTTTTTATTTCTGATAGACCCTTGTTGAATCTATCGTATACCCAAACATTCTAACACAGACTAACAAAAATACTTAGATAATATTAAGATAATTCCCAGTCATTCAAGAGGAAAGGGGCTCTCCAAAAGAACAAAGTTGTAGTTCATACAAATTCTTAGCTATTGACTCTCTAAAACAAAAGGATTATGTATACTACCACTAGAGACAAGACAAAAGGGAATAACAACCAACATAATCAGGTGCCGTTCCAACTAACAAAACAGCCATTAACAACCATAATACCAGAAAAGACCATTCTACCCTTGGCCAAAAAGATAACAAAAATGTAGGGGCTTATCAATTTCATTCTATCATAGCATTGTACTTCCATTTTTTACTTATTAAGGCATTGTACTTTCAGTGAATAATCTACCCAACTATAGGTCTATAGCAGTGAAATGGTAATTAAATGCATCTAAAAAGTACACAAATATATGGAATTTACTTAATAAGTTTCTATACTGTCAAGGCTACAAATCACGTGAGCGGCCAACAAAGAAAAGCTTATACATTGTAAGTATTCTTATTTTTAAGTTAGAATTCATGGCATCATAGTAGTATTTGATTTCTGTTTTATATATACAAGGGAGAAAACAAGATAATAGGAAAAGAAAAACTAGTAATATTTAACCTGCTGTAAAACAAAAGAAATCAAGATAATGAAAAAAGAAAAAAAGTAATCAGAGTAACAGATTTAACCAGTTGGAGTTGAAAAAAGAACTAATATGCCTAAACACGAACTTAAAGCATCACCACCAATCAGTTAAGCTCTCGGTGACTTCTTCCACTTGAGGAAACTTGACATTTGATGGAAAAATGAAACCTTTTTCTTGCAAACAGGTAACAACCTACCAATACCAAGTCACAAGACAAACCAATTAGGAGTCCTGAAATTTGAAACAAGTTTATCCAAAATTGAAAAAGAAAAAGAAATCTTACCTCAGAATTCACAAGACAAACCAATTAGAAGTCCTTTAAGCATCTCTTCTTTCGGCGTTGTGTGGCGATACCGGATCCCTTTACAAGTATAACTTAAGTCGACTTTGACTAAAGAAGACACATCTACCAATAAAATCTTCAAAAAATTTATTTCATGTTGGATTGTTAGTGATTGAATATTAGGCGCATTGATTTCGATGGCATCATCTTCAGATCTATCAAATTCAAAATCCTTGTATCCAAATATCACCAAGTTTTTAACACTCTTTGAAGTAATATTGAAAATTTTAGAAAACGCGTTTGGTAGAAAGCATAGAGTTTTCATTTTCCACCTTAAAATTTTGGAAATTTTTGGAAAACTATGGTTGCGTTTAGTTACGGAAAAACAGTTTTCATTTTCTGTTTTTCGTTTTCCCTTTTCAATTTTCGTTTTCCGTTTCCAATTTTCATTGGAAAGTTTAAAAAAATGTGTTTAGTTAAAACTTATTCATTTTTCATGTTCAGTTTTGGAAAATTAGAAAACGTGTTTAGATGTTATTTTTCTATCGGCTTCATTTTTAAAAACAGTAACGGTGGTAGGGTGGGCATGGGGACTGTGGTAGTGGTGGGGGTAGTAATGGTGTCGATGATGGCGATCGTGGTGGTGGTGGTGGTGGCAGTAGCGGTGGCGGTGGTGGTTGCAGCGGCAATTGTGGCAGTGGTGGTGTTGGTGATGGTGATATTAGGTTGATGATTGTGGTAGTGGTGTTGGGTGGGTGTGTGTAGGTGTGGGTGGTGACGGGTGTGTGTGTGTGTGTATGTTTGTGGGGATGTGTGTGTGTGTGTGTATGTTTGAGGGGTGGGTGGGTGTGTGTTTGTGGGGGTTGGTGTGTGTGTGTGTGTTTATGGGGGTTGGTGTAGGTTTGGGAGTGTTAAGGTGAAAGCAGATAAAGGTGGATGGGATGGGAGTGGGTGTTTATTTTTTAGAAAAATTTTGGATTAAAAAAATATGAAAAACAATAATTATAGGTCTTCCAAAAATTTTCAACTTTGTAATTTTAGAAAACAGAAAATTTTCATTTTCCGTGAAAATTTTAAAAAATAGACGAACTAAACGTGTTTTCAAAATTCTCATTTTTCTTAGAAATTTTTTTTGGAAAACGGTCCATTTTTCCTCAACTAGACGCACCGGAAAAGTTTCATTTTCTTAGAAAACTTTGAAAAACTGAACGATCCAAACGCATTTTCAAAATTTCTATTTTTCTTGGAAAAAATTTCACAACCAAACGCACTCTTAGAAGTTCCCAAATTCTCACAAATCTTTTGTAATGTGTGTGTGTGTGTGTGTGTGTGTATATATATATATATATATATATATATATATATATATATGTTCAGGTTCATTTGAAAGCATGCAAATTTTGTGAGACCGTGAGACCAAATTTAAAAATAATTTTAAAATGCATAATAGAAAGAAAAATCCAAAAATTCTTTTTTTAATTATTATTTTCAGAACATTTAATTGCCTATATATATATATATATATATATATATATATATATATATATATATATATATATATATATATATATATACTGTTTTTTTTTAAATAAATGAAATATTCTAATAAAATATTACACTGTAAATATCCAATGTAATTTTTAGAATGTTGAGATATTATACTAAATTTCTCAGATGTGTAGAATATTCTATTTATTCTACTAGAATATGTAAAAAAAAATGTATTTTTTTTCTTTTTATTTATTTTTTTTCTTTTTTTTTTTTTTTTGGTTTTTTTTTTGGAAATATAAATTACAAAAATAATATTTGAAAAAAAAATTCAAAAATTTTCAATTATTTTGCATTTTAAAAATGTTTTTTGTTTTATCTACCAAATGAATGGCTAAGATTGACTCACGGTCTCACAAAATTAGATCGTCTCACATTAACCTAACTAACTATATATATATATATATATATATATATATATATATATATATATATATATATATATATATATATATATCACTTTACAATCTATGTCTCATTTTTTTCATACTTACTGTGTGTCCAACAATATCATCTAAATACAAAGCAATTTCACTGCTATGATATAATTTCAAGCATGGTTTAGAGGTATTGGGCAGTTTAAATTTGTTTCTTTCATTTAGCCTAAACTGGTTATACACAAAAAATAGCAACTGTGTTCTTTTTTTTGTCTTGATAGGGCTCTACTTCCATTTCTTCATCTAGACACAAACATGAAATAGCTCCATGTATGTTTAAAAAAAAAAGCCAACACATGTTAGTATTTGGATATTTTTTTGGATCAGGGTCAAATGTTTTTAATAACAAAAATATCATTTTACAAAAATCACAAACCAACCGATCGACACAAAAGGAGGCAACAAAAGATTGAACATCCTTTAATCATTTTCCTAACACTTATACAAATTTCTTTGAGGCCTAACAACATAAACACCCTTCACATACAGCTTCAAATCAACTTAATGATACCAAAAGAAGAAGCTGCTATTGGCTACCAATAAAAACTGTTTGTCTTAAATCTTAATTCTTATTTTAAAACTACAATTTGTATTAAGAGCAAGTACCATCAGGATCATCATTCACAATAATCCAAGGATGCTCCAAGATCTTCTCAAGTGGAAGCCTTTTATCCGAATCCTTCACCAAAAGCTGCATTTGTTCAAATCATTGAATTAAAGAAAATGAAAGAATCAACACATTATTAGGTGAAAACCTTCAGTAAACACATAACTTACTCGAGTGATGAGATGTTTAGCTTCCTTAGATACTTGAGGGCTTGAAGGGAAGGTGAGATCAATCTTCATAATCCTGAGCACATACCAAATCTTGTTACTTATTACACAACAAACAAACAAACACACACACAGAAAGAAAAAGGAGCAAAGTTGTTGATTACCTTCTAAAGGTATCTGCTTGGCTATCTGCCTCAAAAGGAGGGACACCATAAAGAAACTCATAACACAGAATGCCTAATGTCCAATTATCAACTGCATAATCATGAGCTTTTTGTTCCACCATTTCTGGTGCCAGATAATCTAATGTTCCACACATTGTGTGTCTCTTGTCTTTTGACCTAACAGACCACCCAAAGTCTGCTATCTTCAGTCTTCCCTACAACCATAACTCTCATGTTATCATATTGCATATGTAATGGAAGATGCTGCTGCTAACAACTTCAAGGAGCAGTGACAGAGAAATTCATCTTAACATACCTCATGATCTAGCAACAAATTCTCAGGCTTTATATCTCGATGGATTACATGCTTTTCATGACAATAAGCTAATGCCCGTGTAAGGCTAGCAATGTACTGAAGATCACCATCAATAAATCAGATTAGAAAAATGGATTAAGAGAGAGATAGAGAGAGGGATAGGAATATTACAGTGGCAGCTTGCTTCTCGGACAAATGACCAGATTTACGAAGCTCTCCATAGAGCTCACCTCCATGAGCGTACTCCAAAATTAGGAAGATTCTTTCTGAATCGTGAAACCACCCGTAAAGTCTGAGAACATTGGGATGACGAAGGCTATTTTGGATCGCCATCTCTCTTTTGAGCTGGTGTTGGAGTTTGTACTTTTCAATCTGTTCTTTAAATATCACTTTCAGGGCGACTATGTACTTGCTCTGATAGGAACAGACAAAGCCAAATTCGTCGAGTTAAACCCTAATTTCATGGAAATCGAGTGATTTAACAGCCTAATTGCACAATTTGAAATGAATGTGTTACCTTGACTTCACGGGCGAGGTAGACTCGGCCGAATTTGCCCTTACCAAGGGGTTTCCCGATCTCGAAATCTTTAAGAGACCAATCTCTTTTCATAGATTCGGAAGCCATTTACGAAAGAGTCGTAACACGAGACGAATAATAGGGGAATCGGAGAGGGAAGTTCTGAATTTGAAATAAAGATTTGGATGGAGTAATTTACAAAGTTAGTCCCCAAAATCTCTTTCCCTTTTCATTTCTCCAAAATCCCAAAATTGGTTTCCAAATGGGTTAATGACATAGAAAGGTAACGTAGTATAGGGTTTGTACACATTAATGTAACGATATTTTTTCGTACACATTTGACAACTAAACGTGTTTGACCTATACACATTAAGGCAATATGTCTGATGATCTTAGGTTTTTGCTGATTTGGCATATTATGTGGCATTAAATGAAATTACTTGACATTTTTGACACATTATATGAATGTTAATTGGAACTAGGGCACATAAATAAAATAGAATAAAAAACCACCGCTTTCGTTCCTTCGTTCCCCTTTCTCTTCGTTCTCAATGTCGAACCTTTGCAATTGAAATCCCTTTCTGTTTCTTCAACTGTAATGACGAAGGGATCATCCCTGATCATGGATGTCCACTATAATGGTGTATTTTCCCCCACCCCCCTTGTATATTTCGACCCAGTTATCGCATCTATACGAGATGTCGACTTCAATGCTATGGTATTTTCAAATTTCATTACATTCCTTGAAAAGCTCACAAAGAATATCAACTGCAAGGATGTTTACTACTGTCTTCCACATGAAAGGTTGAGTGAAGGCTTAGGAGTAATTCAGAATGAAGGAGATTACAGAGAGTTCCTTAATGTTGGTAATGGAAGCCAACAAAAAAGAATTAATGTGTACATTGATCAGTACAATGAACCCATTTTTGATTGGATTGAGGAGGAGAATCCTGATGAATATGATTCGGTTGTAGAGGATGAAGACGAAATTGATGATTCTACATTTTCGGACGCAATTTGAAGTAAGATTTGGTTTGGGGTGTTAACTTGCTTTTTTTTTAATTTACATTAGCTAATGATTGATTTGATTTGGGGTGTTAACTTGCTTTTTTTTTAATTTACATTAGCTAATGATTGATTTGATTTGGGGTGTTAACTTGCTTATTTTTTACAGAATTTGGGGAGTTTATCCAAGCGACTTTCAGCAATTTGAAGTAAGATTTGGTAATGATGCATTTGCTATGGATCTAATCATAAGGGTATGTGAATGTAGAAGTTGGCAATTGAGAGGTATCCCATGCTTGCATGGCTTGGCTGCAATTGCATACCTGAATCATGATGTAGAGTCGTATATGGCACCTTGCTTTAGAAAACAAAGTTTCCTTTCAAGCTACACTTACAATGTCCACCCTTTAAATGGTAGTCCAATGTAGCCGAAAACAACTTATCGAAAGCCTTTACCTCCAAAAAAAAGACTATCAGGCAGACCAAAAGTTAAACGAACAAAGGATAAGTCAGAATTAGAAGGTACTAGTAAAAAGATGCATACAATATCACGTGCAAAATGGTTGCCAAGGTGTAGTACTTGCAGGAGCATTGGACACAAGAAATCAAGCTGTCCACGAAAAGGTAAAAATGAATTGATTTAGTGTAGTTCTATATAATTAGGAACTAATATTAGTTTGTTTTCTCAGGAAGGGGAAGTACAAGTGGAAGTGGAAGTGTACATGTACCCGTACAAGAACCTACACGAGAATCCGTTCAAGAACATGTACAAGAACGTGTATAAGAACCTATTCAAGCTCCTGTTCAAGCTCCCAGAGCTTCAAGAATTGGAAAGATGCATGTGCGAAAGAGGAAAGTTTCAAAACATATAACTGAGATTGGTCTAAGAAAGAAACTTGTCCCCAAAGGAAGGATTGGTTGCAGTCAAAACAAGCTAGTAACTTTAGAATGATGTGCTTGTTTACTACTAGTATCTTTTGTCTAACACAAACTTTTAGTCTTTTGCATGGAATTGGTAACAAACCTTAAGTCTTTTTGTAATGTAACTATGCTACCTTACTACTAGAATGATGTAATGTTACTACGATAATAGTTAAGGGGTATTTTAGTCATAACATGCTTCAAGGTTAATTTGATTAATGTGTTAAGGGTATTTTGTAGTACAACTATTTCTATTAATGTGCATCCTACTTTGAAATCCGTTTATATGAAATTTGTTTTACCAAAATTGCAAATCCAAGGGTAAATTGGTCAAAACAATTTCTATTTTATCATCCTACTTTGAAATCTGTTTCTGTGAAATCTGTTTCATATCAAAATAATATAACAAATTAGATCTCATTCATGTCAAAATAAGTGTTACAAAGTATATTACATCTTAATACAACTTCAAAAGATTCGAAATACCATTTCACAATCTAAAAGATTACAACCAACACAACCTTAACATTAATCTACTTCTTGATGATTACAATTATTACTTCAAAAGACTAAATAAACACATCACAATGAAAACAACCAACAAACACTTAATAATAAATTTTTTATTATTTACTTATCTCGGCTCTTTTCTAAGGCTCAAAATTTCATATTGCACAACTTCAAGTGTTTCATCAGGTTCTACCCATTCCCAAAAACCACACCTTTCTTCTGCTTTCTACATAAACCAAAGGATCAAGGAGTGAAATAACCAATACAACAACAAATATGAACCAAAATCTAAAAATTAAAAAAATGGCATACTGAGCATATCATAAACTTACTTTCAGGGTTGTTTTTTGTAAGGTCTCATTCCTGGTACGCATTTAATTGTAATTTGTTTATTTTTGTAAAGCTAATTGACGAGTTGGGAGCCCCAAAATCATCGAGTAGAAGCGAGATTGGACGCAGGTTTTAAGTCATCTACTCGACGAGCTGAGAGCCATCAACTCGGCGAGTAGGCCTGCCAGAATGAAACCCTAATTTCAAGGTTTTGCACCCTATTTAAGCAACTTAATCCCCACCTTATGGCCTTATTTTTAGCCACCAAGTCCCAAAACCTAACCACGAAACCCTAGAGCATTTTGTGAGTCTGTGAGCCATTTGTGAGTAATCTTGTGTGAAGGAGAAGGAGAAGAAGAAGAAGAAGAAGAAGAAGAAGAAGGAGAAGGAGAAGGAGAAGGAGAAGGAGAAGGAGAAGGAGAAGGAGAAGGAGAAGGAGAAGGAGAAGGAGAAGGAGAAGGAGAAGGAGAAGGAGAAGGAGAAGGAGAAGGAGAAGGAGAAGGAGAAGGAGAAGGAGAAGGAGAAGGAGAAGGAGAAGGAGAAGGAGAAGGAGAAGGAGAAGGAGAAGGAGAAGGAGAAGGAGAAGGAGAAGGAGAAGGAGAAGAATAATACCTCTTTATTGTAGCTTATAGTTTTAAGCACTATAAGACTCCTATGGTGCACATGCAACCCCAAATGCTTTGGATCTATGTTTTCTCTAATTATACTTGCAATAAAATTTCCAATGCATGAAGCCTACATCTAGCATACAATTTGGTACATGAATCATAAAACTAGTTAGAATAATACCTCTTTATTGTAGCTTATAGTTTTGGCCTTTCAAGAGCTAAACACCTCAAGTGTGATGCCTTAAATGGTTCACAAACACCATGAACAAAGAAGGACTTTGAGAGAGAGGTTAGACGCCACCAAACTCGGTTATGATTCTCTTAGAATGCATTAGGCACATGATTTTGGCTAATAGACAACATTTATATAGTGTAGGATTCCAAGAGTCTGATGGGTATTGGTCATAAGACATCCTATGTGCTCATACAAACCGTAATGCTTGGATCTAGGTTTCTCTATTGTACATGCTTTGAATCCAAGACTATAAACCCTAATTCTAGTATATGAAATCGATATTAACATATGAATGGGTTTAAGAACATACCTTGATTGTTATAGAGTAATAACAATCCTAATTCCTCCTTGAATTGACTTTGGAATGCTTAGAGTCACAAGTGTCACTCCTCTAATGGCTTACAAACACCAAGAGCAAATGGAGAAGGTATAAAGAGAGAGGAGAGACATTAGAATTCGTCCTTAGGATTTCTTGGGAAGAGATACACGAATTCATGAGCCTTAGGGTCTTTATATAGGTGTAGAGATAGGGTTTCAGTCATTATCCGTATCTAGTTGCTTATCCACAAAGCAACCCATAAGATAATCCTTGAATCCTTATCATAGTCGAATTCTAAGGCCTTATCACCTCAAATTCGTTCACCATATATTTAAGATAATCCTTACCTTATTTTGTAACTATCACATAATTACAAATCAGCCCCTCTAGTTTAATTAATTACACTTGATCATAAAATTAATTCCCATTTAATTATTGACCAATATTACTTAAACAAATATGATTTCTCCTTTAATATATTATTCTTATAACATATTAATAAATCATAATATCCTCTCTCTCTTTATTTATTTCTTCAATCAAGTTGCTTTAGTGAAGGCAACCCAAAAGGACCATGCACCATCGGTTCAAGTACATACCAAAATAGTTATGGACTTAGACACTAATCCAATAGTCTCCCACTTGGATAAGTCTAACAACTATTCTGCGTATGACTTCGGATCCCGATCTGCAATCGTAGCTTTCCAAAGCCGCTGTCAACTCTGATCATATCAGATACGCGTGTGCTTAGATAAGGGATCATATATTCCTCCATTCTAGATATCATATGAGATATGATTTTAAATCATTATCTTTGTACTATATCTCGATTTCCGATTTATGATGACTGACTAATTGAACAAATCAAATTACCCCTAGCCCGGCCGAGCATTTACGTTTGTCATCACTAAACCATCGAGGGGCCCAAAAGATATCGCTTTTATTCTTTGAATAAAAGGAACGGATAAACTTTGATACAATGCTTGCTTGCACTCACTCACCGAATCACACACAACAATATGTTTTATAACACCAAGTTACTAGAGCGTTTACATATTATCAACGTGCAACCGATTCGCAAGATACAACTCACACATCTCAGTTTAGAGAATATAAGATGTTATCGTCTCACCAATCACTCGTAATACAATTCATGGAGTGATCCAAGTGAGCGTGGGTTTAATCCAATGCTCAAATCATATTCATAAGCACTCATGAACGTTGCAGCAAACATTTGCTTATGTCTAATACTCTTTTAGACAATCCACACATCAATTCACGACAGTCTTCAATCATATCTACTTCCAACATATGAACGACTGTGGTCCGTTCGAATAATTCGATTATTCTTAATAAACTCAATTATTCTAGAAGTCAAAACATGCAAGGTGAAACACAAGAATAATACTAATCCCATATGGCCTTAAACCTTTGAGTATAAATAAAACACGTTTTATTTATCACCATATCGATTACTCATTATTTGTCGTTTCGGTTAATCAACTTCTTACTTGAATTATTACACTTGTCCCATGCTCCTAGCATGCACACAATGTTTACCTATGGTTCTTACTTTTGTGAAATAGACAAATTGAACACATTTCCAATCATTCTCATTTTACAACTCCAAATCCATTTTCTTAAGTGTAAGAATATCAAATTCTTGTTACTTATAGAATATACTAGATTCTAACACTTTACGCAACGAACCTTTCGTAATGTCACTGCACCAAAGTCACAAAGACTATTGCCAATGATATTACAAAGTCCTCTATCGAAGATTGTTACAAGACAATTCCTTAGATATGATGTCTCTCTCTTTCAAAGTACATTCCTTTGAACATCCTTTTGCATAAAAGTTTCTAATCTAGTCATAGATTTTTTAATATTCAATTCCCAATATGGACACGCTTCCATATTTTCCATATGACAACTCATTCTTAATAGAATCTTATCTATTCGTAATGATGTCGATACGGTCCATCCAATATGAGAACATTTCCATATCTTCCAATACTATACTTCCAACTACTCACAAGCGACCAATCCTCGTCGAACTTTGGATTGTCCTTTGATAGTTGTTTAATTATTTTAGTCAAAACCAATTCTAGTCCCTTTTCCCTCTAAATGCGCTAGACATTTGGAAAATTTTAGAATGGTCAAACATTAAAGCATTTGCAATCGATCCTATACCCGAAGCGTATGGGACACGATGCAAAATGTTTTATTTGCTATGTTCTCAAAATTCGAATTGTGAAGAGGAATACCGTAATCATAATCGAAATTTTAAGAACACACTATGTAACCTTGACTAATTTTATTAACATTTCTCAACCTAATCCTTTAGATTTGAAATGAAGCACAATATTCTTTCCCTTAATTATAGCAAAACAACTATACAACCCTTACGACTTTGCAAGGTATAACTCTTGTTTTTCTATAATTAATATTGCCAACTTGCAAAACTTTCCTTAATAATCATACAATCATAACATTTATGCTCCCACTATCATGATGATTATTATAAACATAACACTTATGCCCCCAACAGCTTAACTTTTAGAAAAACAATACTTATTGAATTTCTTAAGTTCATGTTTTTAATACTTAGTGCTTTAATAATCTTTTATCAAGGCCTCTTAAGCTTATACACCTTTGCTTTAGATAGTTCATATGTGTGTCTAAACTATTAAGACTAATTGCCAAACCTCACAATTCAAATCATGGAAAGGGATACCGTAACCATAATTGAATTCGAGAATGCAACTTTACAATCACTATCTTCTTAAAATCTTTTTTAGTGAAAGCATTTCCTCACAATCATTTTTATGAAGGGGGAAATTTTATGACACTTAGATTTAAATGGTGTATTTGTTCCTATCCATGTGAATTTGTTAAAACCAAAGTTTACGACAAATTCAAACTCATATGGACTGAACTTTCTTAATCTTGATTTCTTGCCTTATGGTAGCATAGCTGCCCACCACGTCTTCCAAGTAGTTAAGCAACTCACCTTTTCCTATCAATGTATCTTTCATTGATCAAGGTGTCTTGCCTTTTATGCGTTCAAAATGAGAACTCAAAGAACTCGCATGCATAATTAACTCAATTGGAAACAGAAACAAAAATAATGTTAACACGATAGGTTGTAAATGTTGGGTTTTATACAAACAATCCTATGTGTGCATGCAACCCTAGTATTGGATCTATGTTTTCACTATTAGTTATACAGCTTTATGAACACAAAAAGAAACCTGGCATGCTACTATAATTTTCGAAATTCATATATAAAGCTAGAATACATACCTTTTGTTGTTATATAGCAATAACAACTAGTTCCTTGAATTTTCTTAGCTCTTGAAAGCAAGTACCACAAGTGTAGTACCTCTAATGGAGTCACAAACACCATATACAACTTGGATGAAGAGGAGAAGTAAGGAGGCTGCCCAAAAACGACTAGAAACCCTAGAGAATCAGTTGTTCACGTTTTTGGGGCCTAAGGGGTCCTTTATATACTTGTGTGGGCTGCTAGGGTTTCAGTCAAAACCCTAATGGACAGCTTAAACTCTAAGCAGCCCATGGAACCTTCTGGACAAGGCTATGGACGAAAATATGATGGGCTTCCATCATAATTTCGTTCACCCCTTATTCCTTTAGCATTCCTTAGCCCAATAACTCAATTATCCAATAATTGCAGTCCAGTCCCCTATATTTAATTAATCTCTTTTAGCCACAAAATTAATTATCAATTAATTCTTGACTAATATTAATTAAACAATATGATTTCTCCTTTAATATATTATTCTCATAATATATTAATAAATCATATTTAAACCTTTCTCTCCTTAATTCATCCTACATATTGCTATGGTGAAGGCAACCCAAAAGGACCTTGCTCATAATCGGGTCAAGTACATACCAAAATAGTTATGGACTTAGACACTAATCCAACAGTAAACCTCAACTCGTGTGCTAGTGATGATCAATAAGGTTTATTTGATTTCTTCTTGAAACCTTTCAATATCATTAAGACTCCCACTGACTCCTTGACATATAAGATTCTCTTGTCAATATACATTTGTTGACAATCAAATATTCAAGAGTTAGTGTAGCTTTTTATCGAAACACTTCATAAATTGGTCCTAGTTGGCCTTTGTCTTATCCAAGACATCACAAATTTCCACATTTGATGAATGTTATAAACCTTTAATACTTTTCACTCATTGTCACAATCTTAACTTTAAGACTTTTTATTGGAATGAAGTATGATTGACTTCTTGATTTAACCATTTCTTCAATTCTTGAATCATCTTCTTAAACATACAATTGTACTAAGACTCACTTAGAGGATCAATTGAGATATGGTTCTTAATCATCAAGACCCATTATAAAGCATAAAAGCTACTCTTCCTTCTTCTTAGATTGGAGAAACTTTTTATTTTTTCTGCCTACTTGATTCTTCT